ACCCCCCGCCATTCAGTTGTGTGTGAGGTTCTATTTTCCTAGTCCTGAACTGGCATGGACCAGGCAGCAGTGGCACTCAAGTCATCTTTCTCAACAGAAATCCATCCCCAGCTGGATACATTCCCAGAGAAGATTTGTCAGTTTTTTTTCCCCCCTCTTTCTCTCCTACCAGACTTCCCCAGAGAAGCTTATGTGCAGGTTTTGGGCTGGGAATCCAGTGCGTCACTGCAGAGGAGTTGTGCTGACTTCCTGGCAGAAGGGCAGGATGATAAATTGAGAGAAGACATTGCTGGCAGAAATAAATAAAAAGCTTTGTGAGAAAAGAGGGCATTAACCACTGTTGAGATGCTCACTTTGTCTGGGTACTGGTCGTTGTGCCTCTGGGCCGCTCCACCAGCCCCATGTCCTGTGGAAACAGCTTCGAGCACATCTCTGCTTCCTCATTGTCCTGGCTTTGCTGAGGTCTGTTCATTTTTGCCTCTGTCATCTCTCCCCTGATGAAATCAATTTATTTTGAATGCTGAGTGACTCTTGGGCTAGGCTAAGCTAGATAGTCTTTCTTAAGCAGCCTTGTTATTTAAGGGTCAGTTCCAAGTCTTGCTCTATGGGGAATACTAGTGTAATGTATTTTTCCTGTTGAACAGATCGTTGTTAATTTGCGAAATGCTGGATTTGGAGTTCAAAGCCATATTATTCCTTGTCCTGGGCATTTAGTGCATCAGTCTGTTCTTTTACTCATTGTTCTCTTGCTAATGCATTCACGTGGCTATATGCCAGGCTCATTGTGAGGCAGGAATATAATAATGGAAGGAGACATGGGCCCTACTCTCAGCTGACCGTTTCATGAGGGAGATGGATACTTGAACAAAGTATTGCAAAGTCATGTGTCAAGTCCTCTGCTAGGGCCTAGTAGTGGCCTGGGGAGGAAGTAATCAAGTCGGCTTGATGGTGGCAGAGCTCAGGAGAGCTTCCCAGAGGAGGCCTCCCTTGCGCTGGGTCTTTGTAGATGAAGCAGAAGTGGAATACCACTGTCAGCTCTGTAGAGCACCATCGGTGTTTGCTCTGGACAAGTAAGAAGACATGGACCAAGAGTTAGAAAGGGATACAGTGTTTTAAAAAATGCAAGCATCATGTCTGGATTTAATAAGTAGGTACCATCTTTTTTTTTGGGTTCATAGATTTTTATACAAGTGACCCACACATAAACTGTTTTTCATAGGGACAAGTTCAGTGAAGCTGTACTTACTCCAAAGGCAGCTGGGTTCTCCCAGCCTCTCCCCTGCTCTGGAGGAAGCCCTGCACACAACACACGCATGCACATGCACGCGCATGTACCCACACCCCCCAGGGAAGGGCCCATTACAGAGTGGAGGAAGCAGGTTCTGACTACAGTTGGCAGATGGAGCAGCAAGAGGAGGAATCCCTCTGCTCTGGTCTGTCTGCCTTAGGAAAAAATTTTGGAAGGAATTTCCAGTGTATATGATGGAAACCAATGAAAAACCAGTGTCCAGAGTATGGCATTTAAGTTTGTCGGTGGGAAGTCTCGTTACCGTGGAGGGAAGGCAATACAAGCCTGGCTCTTAGAACTTCTGCCTGCTTAGATCCCAGCTGGACGAAGGGTGCTCAGAGCACTGCTGTGAGGTGGGAGCACTTTGAAAAAGGCGGCAGGTCCTCTCTGCAGGGACACGCGTGGTATTCACCCATGCTGGCGGTTTAGGTCATGCTGCTGCTCTGTAGATGAACGGACATGAGTGTCCTGTGTGTGAGAACTCAAGAGGCCACTCAGGACAGTTGAGTTTTCCAGGGACTTGAAGGGAGCTAATTACCAGCCCCTTGAAAAAGGCATATGGGACCCATACTGTTTCTGTTTTGGTTTGGGTTGGGTTTTTGGTTGGTTGGTTTCTTTAGTGACCCCTGTCCCCCCAGATGCAGCACCATGTTTCTCGTAGACAGTTGTAGCCAGGCTCCATTCAGCCAGAAACCAGCCTGCTCCAAGCCAGGTCTCCAATGAGACACCTGCCAGTCCCCACGCAGCAAGGAGATTTAAAGCCTCTTCCTTTTCTTCCCATTGTGTTGACTGGGCTTTTCTAGGGGAGGAGTGGGGCCAGTTAAAAGCTCCCCACGCCAACCGATTCATCTTCTCCCACGACCTCTCCAACGGGGCCATGAATATGCTGGAGGTGTTTGCGTCTAGCCTGGAGGAGTTTCAGCCAGACCTGGTGGTCCTCTCTGGATTGCACATGATGGAGGGACAAAGCAAGGAGCTTCAGAAGAAGAGACTCTTGGAGGTAACAGCGCTGAGAACCCACACTTGCTGTAGAACTCCCTGAATCTCAGCTGGGGTTCTTCTCCAGGTTCCCACGTCTCTTGGCCACTGTAGCTTGTGCTGCCTTGCCTTAGGTCCTGGCTTCCCAAGGACGTACCTCGGCAGCTGGCTGGGAGGTCTGCCCCCTTCTCCAGGGAAACGCCTCACAGTGTTCATTCGGGTGTGGAGAGCTGCTTGAGTAGGACAGGTCAGAACCCCTTGCCTGAGCTTCTTCATCCTGCGCTAAAGCCAGCATGGCTGCAAACTGCAGTGTTCTGTAGTTTGTCTCCTTTGTGTCACCTGTATCATCTCAGCGATGCTAGGGTTCCTGCAGATCCGTACAGCACTGAAGCCCCAGCTGCTCAGTGTAGGTCCCCAGGAACAGGCTGGCAACAGGAACGTACAGGGGAAGTTCTTTGTCCTCTGAGTCTAATCCCGCTGCCTCTGCAGAACCTAGTCTTCCCTTTTGTGTAAAGTCTCCCTTGTCCACAGAGGCCGGTGGTGACCCACAGTGCTTGGAGCTCTCAGGAGGATGCAGCAAAGGCAGTAACATTAGGGAGGCATTTCCTTTCAGAACCTGATCCTTTCTTTGCTCTTCTGACTTCCTTCCGATAGCAGTGCTGTCCTCTTTCCTCTCTCTGCAGGTTGTCACCTCCATTTCTGACATCCCCACTGGTGTTCCCGTTCACATCGAACTGGCCAGTATGACCAACAGGGAGCTCATGAACAACATTGTGCATCAGGTAACCAACCACCTGGGCAGGACGCGGGGCCTCCTTTGGCCTTGAACCCCATGGGGTTTACAGAGAAACTTTGGTCCATGGGGGCCAAGTGTCTGTGCTCAGAGACCACGCACTGACACGTGGCTGGCATGTCACTTAGACTAGTCCACGGGATCCCAGGAAGGAGCCAGGACTGTTCAGGAACAGGATCTCATGGTAGGTTAGAAATAGGGCAGTTTAACCGATGGTCTTGTAGGTGAGTTTCGTGCGTTTCTCCTTCTGGAATAGGGACGTCGGTAGTTAGTGGGTTTTGCAGTAGAACTCAAAGGAAAAAAAACGAAACACCCAGCTCAGCTGCTTTCAGTTGAACTTTAGGAAGCTGAGAGAAAGGACACTTTGGGGAGTTTCACTCCCTCATCACCAGGCACCTAGGTGTTTCACTCCTGTCTTTGGACAGCAGCAGGGATTAGGAGAAATATAAGAGAAGGAGCTTGAGAAGACAAGCTTTGAAGACCTGGTTGAAATGCTAGCTCCACCACACACTAGCTTTATGAACACAGGCAAGTTATGTAACTTTTCATTTTATTGTTATTAAGCTTTTAAACTTAGTAATATATTCATGATTCAAAAACCAAAACAAATACAAAAAGATATACAGTGAAGTCTCCCCATCTAGGTCTTCCCCCTCCCCCACCTGTAACCAGTGTCGGTAATCTCTTTATTAGTTTCATCTGTATCCCTCAAGGGCTTCCAGCCAGGTTCGTTCAGGTTCAAACCCCTGCTGAGAATTTGCATTTGCTCCCAGATACACTGAATCAGAATCTCCATTTTAACAAGGTCCCCAGATGATTCTTATGTATAATAAATTTTGACAACCACTGCTCTTCTAGTGGTTCTCAGAATTGGTCCCTAACCAGCAACATTAGCATCACCTGGGAACTTGTTAGAAATGCAAATTCTCAGCAAGGGTTCTAACCAGTTTGAAGCCCTATTTATACCTACGTAAGTACGAGAATATGTCCTTATTTTTCCATCCCTTTTTACCCCAGAAGATAGCATAGCATACCAAATACACTGTTCTGCACTTTGGTTTGGCCACCTGTAGTTTGAAGTCTTGTCTCTATCAGTACAGGAGGAGCAGCCCCAGTCTTTTTACAGCCTCATGATTAAAATATATTGTATGGATGTTCTTCCATTTGTTTAACGTGAACATTACTGATGGACAGTTCGGTTGTTTACTGTCTCTTGCTGTTACATACAATGCTGCAATGAATACCTTTGTACATAATTTAATTTTGCCCATGAGCAAGTACAGGTCCAGTCATTCCTTGGTATCGTAGGGGGGTTGGTTCCAGGACCCCCGTGGATACCAACATCTGCAGCTGCTGAAGTCCCTTATATAAAATGGCGTAGTACTTGCATATAAGCTACACACATCCTCCTGTATGCTGTAAATCATCTCCAGATCACTTACAGTACCTAATACAATGCAAATGCTGTATAAATAGTTGTTATACTGTATTGTTTAGGAAATAATGACAAGAAAAAAAATCTGGTTTTTTCGAGTATTTTCAGTCCATGGTTGGTTGAACCACATATACGGAGGGCCGTAAATTCTCAGAAGTAGAATTGCTTGCTACATTGGAGCATAAAAAGCATTTGTAAGTTTGATGTTGTCAAATTGCCCTCTATGAGAATTGTATCAGTTTACTTCCCACAGCAATGTTTTCAATAGTTACTTCCTCATAGCCTTGCCACCAGAATGTGATTAAAAGGCTTGCATTTTTACCAATCTGACAGGTGGAAATTGTATTTCAGGATAGTTTTTATTTGCATTTCCCTTATTGAGGTTGAGCATCTTTTCACTTTTTTTAACGAGAGCCATTTTTATTTCCTTTTCTGTGTAATTGTCTAAGGAGCCCTGGTGGTGCAGGGTGAAGTGCTTGGTCACTAACCAAAATGTCGGCCATTCATATCCACCCTTTCTGAGCCTCAGCTCCCTTATCTGTAAAATGGGGTTGGTCCCTCCTAGGGATACAGTGAGTTGAATGAATTAGAGGCGTTAGCTCAGTGCCTGGCATAGAACATGCAGTGAATGGAAGCTGCTATTACATTAGCAAAGGTATGAAACCCATTGCTGTTGAGTTGATTCCAATTCATAGGGACTCTATAGGACAGAGTAGAGCTTCCCCATAGGGTTTCCAAAGAGCAGCTGGTGGATTCGAACTGGTGACCTTTCAGTTAGCAGCTGAGCTCTTAACCACTGTACCACCAGGACTCTGGCAAAGGTATAGGCCATTAATTTAAATGAATATATATATACATCCAAGTGCTCATCTATCCTTTAGAAACACTCGCCTTACGTGAATGAGCCTTCTCTGGTTCAAGAGGGACATGCTAAGCAAGAAAGATAGTGCGTGGATGTAGTGGTTCTTCCTCAGAACACTAGCTCAGCAGCTCCTGTTGCCATACTTTCCACGCGCTGTTATTGCTCAGTGCAAACAGTCTTCCTATCCCATGCTGCTTAAAAACCTTTAGGTCTCATCTGAAACTGCATTCTCCTTACTTCTTGGCATTGTGTAATAAAGGTCTAAAACAGTGTTACTGCCGCTTTCGGGTTCCTCTGAAGTGATGGTGAAGGTGGAGATAGAGGTGTACTAGCTCAGACAGTGCCCTGTGATCTGTCACTTCCTCTCCGTAGACTTCAAGGACAGGAATCTTATGGGAAGAAAGAAGAATGCTTCCTGCTTGCCTTCCCTGTCACTTAGTCACTGGCCGTGCCCTGAGATGTGCTAGGAGCGAGATCGTGTCCATCCGAAAGAGACCTGTTATTTCATTTTTGTTAGCAGGTGTTTCCTGCGGTGACTTCCCTTGGGCTGAACGAACAGGAGCTGTTATTTCTCAGCCAGTCGGCATCTGGCCCCCACTCTTCTCTCTCTTCCTGGAGCGGCGTTCCGGATGTGGGCATGGTCAGTGACATCCTCTTTTGGATCTTGAAAGAACATGGGAGGAGCCAGAGCAGAGCCTCAGACCTCACCAGGATCCATTTCCACACGCTGGTCTACCACATCCTGGCAACCGTGGATGGACACTGGGCCAACCAGCTCGCAGCCGTGGCTGCTGGGGCTCGCGTGGCTGGGACACAGGCCTGTGCAACAGAAACCATAGATGCCAGCCGAGTGTCTCTGCAGGCACCCCGCGAGTTCACCACCTCCCACTCAGAGGCAGGCTCCAGGATCGTGTTAAACCCTAACGAGCCAGTAGCAGAGTGGCACAGGGAGGGAATATCCTTCCACTTCACACCAGTCTTGGTTTGCAAAGATCCTGTTCGAACTGTGGGCCTTGGAGATGCCATTTCGGCAGAAGGCCTCTTCTATTCCGAGGTGCACCCTCATAAGTAGGACCCACGAGGAAGGAGAACTAGCCGACTGTAGAATTACAGGAAGAAGATGGTTGATTGAGGGTGTCAGAACCGTTTCTAGATCTAATTGGAAGACAGCCAAAGAAATAACAGCAGATTAAACTGTACCAGATAACATTCCAGCCTGTTGGCGATTACACAGAAACATTCGGTTTTAGTTACTAGTAAGACTGGACTTCTGTGTTTTTTTATATTGTCTGTTACAGGGGTGAAAACTTGATTCCCAAATCCGCAGTTATGCAGAGCCATCAAGTATTTTGAGGCAAACGTCCAGTCAGAGTATGTCAGCTGGAGAAAGCCCCCCTCCCTGCCCCTTGAGAAGTGCCCTCTCCTCACCCACATCCCACTGCCTCTGTAGAGCCTCCTGCGCACTTCTCGTGTTCCTTCTTGCTCAGTGCTCACAGCCAGGATCATGCTTTGCATTCAGTGTTACAGTGGACACATTCCATGAGCATACTTTCTCAGTCTCCTGCTCTCAGCCTTAGGGCAGAGCCACAAATAGAAGACTGAGCATCCTCAGGCAGCAGAGGCCGGTGGCGGGGGCTTTTGAGGGAGCCGCTCACTCTGCAGTGGCCTGGACACCTGGCATGCTGCAGCGTGGCACTGGGTGCTGATGGGCCATGCCCTCCTGCCTGACTCTGTTGGCAGTAGGCTGGTGCTCAGAGGCTCCTGTGGCCTGGGCTGTCCCCATGGCCCAGCTGTAGGCCAGCTTCCTGCAGAAAACTGATCTCTGTTCATTCTCACCCTTGAAGGAATACGCTTTTACAACTGGAATCTGCTTCTGTGTGTATAACAGATTATGTTATGTTTTATGTTTTCGTTGACACACCACATCCATTAAAGAGTTCGACCTCATAAGAGCCTCAGGATCATGAATAAATTTGTCATGTTAATGTATTTATTTTTTTTTTTATAAATCAAGGAGACTTCTCTGTGCTTTTAAGTATATTAAAAAACTATTTACATTTCAGGAATCCTAAGTCTATTTGCAATTGATTTTGTTTCCACCACCACTCTGGAGCAGATAAAATATAAATCCTTCTGATGTTGACTTGTGATTTGTATGTTACTGTACGCTTGAGGTGTCTTTTTATCTTGTCTTCCCCATCCTTGGGTTAGGCTGTTCCTCACACTGCACCTAAGCTGTAGGCCTGCGCTCTGGGCATTTAGTTGATCTGGAGCACAGCAGCTTGAATGAGCAGTGAGCCTTCAGAGTTTGTTCAGAAGGACAGTGTAGACACGGCAGCTGGTGGCAGGCCGCTTGGTTCTGTGGTAGTCATTTCACACAGGGCCCGATGTCACTGCTTTTGGAACCCCAAAACTACCCCAGGTTCTTCATTTATAACCTCCCTTTCCCGTCAAGGAAAGATTTGGTTGCCCTTTCTTCAAAGAAAATTTAAGCCTAGAGAAATAACGCCGTGTGAAATTCAAAGCAAACAGCTTATTAAAATCTCAGTTGCTACCTCATCCTTCTCTGCCTCCAAGCTCAATTAAGAATTAAACACCAACCTTCTAGCCTTGTTTTTTATTATAAAGGCTTACAAGTGAGAAGAGATTGCTATTTTCCCAAGAAGAATTACAGTAACTCATCATTTATGCTCTGAATCTATTAGAAGTACTGAAGTGTTCTCCATGTGACCTTTTTTTTCTGGTCTGTCTGTAAGGTGTGTCTACTCAGCCCCTGCCTTGAGGGTATAGTCTCAACAAGTTCTCCAGTTATTCACTGGTGATTTAATGAAGATTAGCTCAGGAAGCTACATACCTTAGAGCAGTCTTAAACCATTGTTAGCTGCCTCCTTATGTACAACAGACTGAAACATGGCCAGGTAACATGCCTCCTTATGTACAACAGACTGAAACATGGCCAGGTAACCTTATGTACAACTGAATGCAGCATCAGGTCCTGTATCATCACAATCACCAGCGTGTTTGAGTCCCATCATTGCAGTTACTGTGCCAATCCATCTCACGGAGGGTCTCCCATGCCCTCAGCCCTCTACTTCACCAAACATGAGATCCTTCTCTAGTGATTGATCCCTCAACATGACATGTCCAAAACAAGCGAGTTGGACAACGTTCTGTTGTGATTCATAAGGTTTTCATTGGCTACTTTTTGGATGTAGATCACCAGGCCGTTCTTCCTAGTCTTAGTCTGGAAGTTCTGCTGAAACCTGTTCAGTATCATAGCAACGTGTAAGCCTCCACTGACAGAGAGATGGTAGCTGTGCGTGAGGTGCACTGGCCAGGAATCAAACCTACATCTCCCACATGGAAGGCGAGACAACTGTTAATAGTTGCTAAATCAATTTGGTGGTTATCACGAAAGTATTAGAATGCATCATACATTGTAAAGGTAAGTATTATAAGTATTTTGTAAAATTTTAGCTCATGTATCTGTGAATGAGTATATGTAAGTATAAATGTACGTACGTCCCTCTGCAGAATCTGCCCTACCTTTTTGAGAAGCAAATACTTTTTTTTACTGTATTTACTGAAATTGTCTGTTCCTCTGGCAGTCCATGGTATATTCAATGTTCTTCACCAACACCATAATTCAAAAGGCATCAATTCTTCAGTCTTCCTTATTCATTGTCCAGCTTTTGCATACTACGAGATGACTGAAAATACCATGGCTTGGGTCAGGCGCACCTCAGTCCTCAAAGTGACATCTTTGTTTTTCAGCACTTTAAAGAGGTCTTTTGCAGCAGATTTGCACAGTGCTATAGGTTGTTTGATTTCTTGACTTCTGCTTCCTTGGGCGTTGTCTTAGTTATCCAGTGCTGCTATAACAAATACCACAAGTGGATGGCTTTAACAAACAAATTTATTTTCCCACAGTCAAGTGGCTAGAAGTCTGAATTTAGGGTGCCAGCTTTAGGGGAAGGCATTCTCTCTCTGTTGGCTCTGGAGGAAAGTCCTTGTCATCAATCTTCCCCTGGTCTAGGAGCTTCTCAGTGCAGAAACTCTGGATCCAAAGGATTTGTTCTACTCCTGGCACTACTTTCTTCGTGGCATGAGGTCCCCGTCTCTCTGCTCACTTCTTTTATATCTCAAAAGAGACTGATTTAAAACACAACCTAATCTTGTAGATTGAGTCTTGCCTCATAACTGCTGCTAATGCCACCTCATTAACATCATAGAGGTAGGATTTACAACACACAGGAAAATCACTTCAGATGACAAAATGGTGGACAATCACACAATACTGGGTGGGAATCATGGCCTAGCCAAGTTGACACATATTTTTGAGGGACACAATTCAATCCATGAGAGGCACTGATTGTGGATCCAAGTAAAATGAAATCCTTAACAACTTCAATCTTGTCTTCGTTTATCACAATGATGCTTATTGATCCAGTTGTGAGGATTTTTGTTTTCTTTATATGTTGAGGTGTAATCCATACTGAAGGCTGTGGTCTTTGACCATCAGTAAATGCTTCAAGCCCTCTTTGCTTTCAGCAAGCAAGATTGTGTCATTTGCATATCACAGCTTGTTAATGAGTCTTCCGCCAATCCTGGTATCGTGTTCTTCATATAGCCCAGCTTCTTGGATTATTTGCTCAGCATAGAGATTGAATAAGTATGGTGAAAGGATACAACCCTGATGCACACCTTTCCTAAACATGATAGCCATAGCATTTACTTTTCCATAGATGCCTTTTATTAGGTTGAGGATGTTCCCTTCTATTCTTAATATCCTGAGGGTTTTTTTTTTCTTATTGTTGTCGAAAATATATACAAAACATACACCAATTCATCAGTTTCTACAATTCAGTAACACTGATTACATTCTTCGAGTTGTGCAACCATCCTCACCCTCTTTTCCAAGTTCTTCCTCCCCCACTAACATAAACTCACTGCCCCTCAAGCTTCCTATCTAACCTTTAGAGTTGCTGTTGTCATTTGATCCTATATACATAGTTTTTCAAAAGAGCACAATGCTCAAGGCAGATATTCTTTACTAATTAAGCTAAACTACTGTTTGGTTTAAAGATGACTTCAAGGGATATTTTTTGATATAAGGTTTAAAGATTATTTCAGAGCAATAGTTTTGGGGGTTCATCCAGCCTCAGTGGCTCCAAAAAGTCTGGAGTTCTAGTTTGTGGTATAGTTGCTGGGATCTTAAAAGCCTGCAAGTGGCCATCCAAGGTACAACAATTGGTCTCTATTCACCTGGAGTAACAGAGGAAGAAGGAGAATCAGGAATAACCTGATTGCGACTCATACCAACCCTATAGGACAGAGCTGAACTGCCCCATAGGGTTTCCAAGGCTGTAATTTTTATGGATGCAGACTTCCACATCTTTCTCCCACAGAGCAGCTGGTGGGTTTGAACCACCAACATTTCAATTAGCAGATGATCGCTTAACCAATGTGCAACCAGGGCTCCTTGAGTCAGGACTAGGAGGAAACTGCAATGTGTGGCTGATTGCCTCCATGAACAACTGCCTCCTTTGCCATGAGACCAGAAGAACTGGATGGTGCCCAGCTACCATTACTGAACATTTTGATCAAAGATTCTATAGACGAATCCTGATCAAAAGGGTGAAAATATAGAACAGAATTTTTTAAATTGTACTTTAGATGAAGGTTTACAGAACAAATTAGTTTCTCATAAAATAATTAATACACATATTGTTTTGTAACATTGCCAACCCACGACATGTCAACAGTCTCCCCTTCTTGACCTTGGATTCCCCGTTACCAGCTTTCCTGTTCTCTCCTGCCTTCTCGTCCTTGCCTCTGGGCTGGTATGCCCTTCTCGTTTTGTTTTATGGGCTTGTTTAATCTTCGACTGAAGGGTGAACCCCAGGAATGACTTCATTACTGAGCTGTAAGGGTGTCCAGGGGCCATACTCTTGGGGTTTCACCAGTCTCTGTCATTCCAGTAAGTCTGGTTTGTTTTTTGTTTTTTTGTGAGTTAGAATTTTGTTCTACATTTTTCTCCAGCTCTGTCTGGGTCCCTCTATTGTGATCCTTGTCAGAGGAGTCAGTGGTGGTAGCCGGGCACCATCTAGTTGTGCTGGACTCAGTCTGGTGGAGGCTGTG